GATTGTTGTTGGGGGCAATATGCTGACTCTGTAAACCGCTTAGAGAGGGCTGAAAGCCCTATAAAGCAGTATATAAGTCTAACTGCTATTGCTCTTGCTATTGCTCTCCCCTTCCTCCTCCTATCCCTACCCTTTTCCCTCCTTCCTTCCTCCCTCCCTCCTCTTCTTGTCACTCCCATCTCCTTTCTTCATCCACACTCAGGAAGGATGAGAGAAGGGGGAGAGATTGGCAGCGCTGCCGATGGCTGTGCTCCTAGCAGCTGTGGCTTTCCCACACGGGGGCTGGAGTGTGATCAACCTTAGATCTGACACATGTGGCCAACCTGGAACCAGCGAGCCCCCCACCCACCCGCTGCGTCAGCAAAAGGGGTGTCTCATGAGTGGCAAGGCCAGCCCGGCGAGTGGAGCATGGAAGCAGGTGGCAGCCATCTGGGCCAGAACACGGGCCTTGTATTTGACATGTCTGGCTTATATCAATAATTAAAGTTTTCACTGTTAAAGCTATTGTCTAATTCAGTTCTGGGTCATGTCAGTATTATCTACATATTGTAGGACTATAAGAAGTGAAGATTGAATCATTAGTATTTAAAGTTTCTCAGGCTTTTATTTGACTGCATAACACAATATATCACATTATTTTTTCTTATGTGTTTGTATAGGAGGCAATGGTCCTGGTGGTACAACCTCAGCACAATCTAATCCTGGAATATTAGGTATAGGTGGAGGTGGGACTGTGTTACCTGCTTTTGAATATAGAGGTACTTGGATACCTATCCTCAACATATCTGCACAGGGTAGTGCTAAAGCTACCTAGTAAGTGAAATAATTTATTTCTCTGTTTTTATACATTTGTTTAATTCATATTTTCAAAACTGCAGAGTAAAATCCTCCATTCCCTCAGCACAGACATATGCTATTTAGAGTAATCAAAAATTGGTAGTAATGGTGTTATAATCCCATTATTTTTCTAAAAAGTCTTAATGAAAAAAAATCATTCACTAAGTTTGTGTAAGGCGACACCAGTTAGAATTATATGTAAATTTTATAAAAGAATGGAGAATGCTGTAATCTCCTCATCTCCCAAACATCATCTCCCTGAGCTGAGATTAGCAAGTCTTTTGGAAAACCTTAAAAATGTGGTTCTTCGTGAATCCTGGGGAACCTATGGCGAGCTTTCAGAATGGTTGAATAAGGTTAAATGATTGTTGTCTTCCTGTTGTCTTTTATGGTGCTTTTATGCTCTCCATGGTATCAATGGGAGAGTCCAGGATGGGTTATTCTAGCCTACTAGCTCGTTGACTGAATTGAAAGTCTGAAGACACGCCTCCTTGGTAACGGTCCTCAGGCTTTCAATTCAATCTCAGCTTGCAGGACTGGTTTCTCTTGAGCTCTCAGTTCAGGTTTTGAAAGATTTCCTTTGAAGATCATCTGGATTGTTTTGGCTCATGATAAAAATACAGCTGAAAGTGTTTTCATCGCACTGCGAGTTTAGCGCTGCAGGCGCTTCTGCGGGGCTCCGCTATCCCAATTTCTAGTGCAGCAAGTTTTTTCGCGGCTCTTGAGCTCCGGACTTTGCCTTATTACTTTTGCTGAAGACAGGAGCTCATTTCAGCTGCGGCTGAAGAAGGCGGGGGGTCCTTTGGACTGGGGGTCACTGTTTTCAGCATTTTTAGGATCGTGGTAGAGGTGAAGCCATTAAAGCTTCCCTTCTGACAGCTCTAGCCATAGTTGCAATGGACAGTATGACTGACTATTTGATAAAAAATCACTTGTTGCTGTGAGTAACTTGTGGGACTAGAATATGGGTCTCCCTGGACCTAGTCCATCACCTTAAACTATTAGATACAACTAGTTCTCTTTGTAATTTAAAATGTATTTTTTAATTACGGCAATATATAATACAGGTAATCCTCAACTTATTCATTTAGTGACTGTTCAAAGTTGAAATAGCACTGAAAAAGGACTCATGACCTTTCTTCACACTTAAACTGTTGTAGCATCGCCATGATCTCATGATCAGAATTCAGGCACTTAGTAACTGGCATGTATTTATAACAGATACACTGTCTCAGAGTCATGTAATTCCCATTTCTAACCTTCCAAGCTGACTTAAGCCAAGCAAATGATTTACTTAACAACTATAGTAATTTGGTTAACTGTGGCAAGAATCGTAAAATGAAGCACAACTCACAACCAAATTTTGGTCTCAATTTTGATCATAAGTCAAAGACTATCTGAAAAACAAATTGTTTGGGTATATTTCAGCCTCCTATTAACTTAAGAGACTTTACTTTTGATGCAAATGAATGTTGCAGTGCTAAACATACTGTATTTTTAGAATAGACTACCAAATGTTTGAATTAATAAATGAATATTCTTACTTGACTTGGTTCAAATAATTAAAATGCTACTGAATGAAATAAAATTAACTTTTAAATAAACACATATAAGGTTTAGGTTGAGAATAGAAACAAATTCTGATTGGCTAATATTGAGCACCTTCTTCCACTTTGGGGGAAAACTAACAAGCTCCCTGGTTTGGGATGGACTTTGGGTTGATAAACATACAGGTAGTCCTTTCTTAATGACTGGCAACCATTTAAAGTTATGAAGGACCCCATAAAGATACTTACGATTGAGATTTGAAGTTCTACCCCCAACCCCCCACAGTTACCTGATCACATTTTGGGTGCTCAGCAACCACCCTGCATTTAAAGCTGCTTGCAGTGTCCTGTGATCACAGGAGTGCAGTTTACATTTTTTGCTAGAAGCTGGCATTTACTTCTGATTTCCAACAAAAAATACCCGTTGTAAACAATGGGTTCGCCTACTGACTTTCCCATTTGCTTAACAATTGCCACAAAAATGTAACATTGTCATGTGATGACATGCTTAACAATTCCAGGCTCAATTATGGTTGTAAATCAATGACAACTTATAAGAAGTAGAATAGAACTGAAGAGGAATACTGTAATTGATTGTATTCTAGAGCCGGGATGTCAAACTTGATTTCATTGAGGGCCACATCAGGGTTGTGTTTAACTTCTGGGTGCGTGGCCATGGGGTGTGACCAGCTCGAGATCATTCATGTCGGGGGCATCTATGGTGACCTGAGCGTTCTGCTAGTGAAAACGGGCTCATGAGCTCAATTTTTGCTGCAATGACCTCCTGCTACCCTCTGCCAGTGAAAACAGAGCTCAGAAGGGCAGCATGGGATCCTCCCAAGCTCTGTTTTCACTGGCAGAGGCACTGTGGGCTAATCCTTTGCTGTTTCCAGGAGCGCCCCGTGGGCCGGATCTAAGCACCCCGTGGGCCGGATCCAACCCATGGGCCTTGAGTTTGACACCCCTGATCTAGAGAATATTTTGGGATCTGTTGCATCACAGTGATGGCAGTATATAAATATTTCCTATCACTGTTCTGTCTTCATAAAATCACACAGATGGGTTATTTTCAGCTGGTTTATCATATTACATGTTGTTACTTGGTATTTTAATTAATTATATTTTTTGTTATCCATGTGTTTTTATTCATCCTTTACTTTTAGTTTATTTCATTTTGTTATGTTTGAAATTGTTCCAGATTTTATTCTGTGTGCCCTACAAACTTACCTAATGAAAGACCAGAACAAAATGCAATAAATAACGCAAGCTATTCTTATGGCATCAGCCTTTGCATCAGAACAGTATTTGAACGCTTCAGAGGCTAATTCTTTTGACATACAGATGTTCAAAGCATTAAATATTGATCTTATCTTATTTGGTTTAATCAGTCTAGAGCAGGGCTCCCAACCCCTGGTCCACGACCTGGTGCCAGGCCACAGCCTGTTGGAATCAGGCAACTGCGCAAAGCTGCATTTGCAGAAGCGGTACGCAGCACTTGAAATCATCCCCTCTCCCCCACTCCAGCCCCTTCCTGTCCACAGAGTCGGGAGGTTGGGGACCACTGGTCTAGAGAATTTCCCTTTCCCTAAATCATCCAGCTTAAAAAGTAATGATTTAACCAGTTTTATTTTTAGCTATCTTATTGACCCAGGTTAATATGTTTTAGTTCTCTTTTGAATATGGACTTGAATGCTGGTCTTTTGCAGTTCCATATGATTGATGGATGTTTCTTCATATTTTAGTTTAGAAATGTTGGATAAAGTTGAGCCACCAACAATTCCCGAAGGCTATGCTATGTCAGTAGCATTTCATTGTTTGCTGGATCTTGTCCGTGGCATTACTAATATGATTGAAGAAGAATTGGGACATACTGAAATAGACAGTCAAATATCAACAGTCGATGCACAGACCTCACCGACAGCATCTTTGTACCGCCAGGATTTTCATTCAGCATCTGAACAAACTGACAAAGATACAGGTATATGATGATGTCCAAAATTTGGTTGATAAGAGGAAGAAGGCATTAAGGAGCTGATAGGATGTGTTTCTTGAATGAGCTACGCTTTCTATTCAGATGAAACTTGTTGATTTAAAATATATTTAATAGTTTTTAAATATACAAAGCTAGTTCTTTAGAATTTGTTTATTGAATGTTTCAGTGCTATTGAAATAGTCAATTAGTTTTGCCCTATAATCTGGCGTGTATTTTACTAAAAAATCCAATTCTAGTACTTCCGACAGCCATATTTAATAACATTTTAAATTGTTTATTACAAGTTTGAATTAAAGATATAATGGAATATGGGACTAACCTTGGGAGACAGGAGAAGGAGACACAGTCTAGACAATGGTCAGATAATAGGCAGCTTAACCTGCAGAAGAAATAGGGACCTGGCAAGCATCTCACAAAGATTTTCTCTAGTTTCTTTGACTGTAGATGTGAGCAAGGAGAAACGTACTTTCAGATTTACAGGATTTTATTATTTTCAACTTATAATAAAGTTGCAATAGTATTTTTGGGTATACTTCTTACCTGCACTACCTCATAAGATGATAATTGGTGAAATATATTTCCTCTAAAGCACTTTATTGCAGATTGAAAATATGAAAATTGAAAAATTATTTTGGAATTGTATGTAATTATCCTTGCATCAACAAATTACTCTTCATTGTAGTTACTCTTTACTATATGAATAAAATGCAGGCAATCCCAATTTACAATGGCTATTGGAACTGGAATTGTCATTGCTAAACAACACAGTTATAAAGCATGACATCCTGTAATTGTATCACTTCGTGATGGCAATTCCAACAGTCCCATCTGAGCAAGGATTCTGTGGATCTTTAAGTAAGCACTTTGCATGACCATGATTTGTGACTTCCTGCCAGCTCCCCATTGACTTTTCTTGTTGATAACTGACAAAGGATGTTGGAAATGTGATCATATGACTGTGGGGACAGTGTACATTAAGTGAAAACCAAAATGCACCAAGAAATGTATCTTCTGTAATTGATTTGCTAAGTATTATTTTATAGTATTGTAAACTTGTTTTCTTTAAGATCACAGAGTTGTTTGGGAAGAAATGGTGAATGCATGTTGGTGTGGTCTTCTTGCTGCACTGTCTTTACTTCTGGATGCTAGGTATTGAATTGTTTTTAAATAGTTTCATTTTTGAAAACTATGCTTTCTTACAGGCAAGCTAAGACTTCATGTAGAAAATTGCATGTCAACTAAGTATCATATTTCTGGAGACCTAAGAGACAAAATTATAGAAAAATATTTATGGCCCAAAAACTATAAAGAATTGGATATCATTGCAATTTAACTGATTAGATAAGCAAGACTAAGCTTTTCTCTTCTATTCTTCTAGAGAAAACATCTATTTAACATTAAAATACTGTATCAATAAATATGGTCACATGAGATTTATCATTTTTGATACCAGGTACATGCTAGCAATAGCAAATAGCAAATAGACTTTTATACTACTTCACAGTGCTTTATAGCCCCAACAATCTGGGTCCTCATTTTACCGACTTGGAAAGATGGAAGGCTGAGTCAACCTGGTGACGCTCAGAATCGAACTCCTGGAGTGAGCAGTGAGTTAGCCTGCAGTATTGCATTCTAACTGCTGCACCACCAAGCCTGATAATATAACAATTGCTTGAAATATATAAATTATAACATTATAATAAATTATAACAAAGATCTCCACTAACTTTCATCAACTTTCACATTTTCCTAGCTAGAATTATTACTTCTGAGAATTCTGTGAGATTGAATTGAATTAAATTGGAACTAATTTAAAGGTTTGTGTTACTTTAGTGTAATACAAAGTTTTATTGTAGTTTATTTTTTGTAACACAATATGCAAAATGATGTTTCAGAAAGATTCTGCAACATGTACATCTTCAAAACATGTACATTTGAAAGATATTAATAAGCACATATTATTATGTTATTTTTTATTTCTTAAACACAAACAGACAGAACTTAAAACATAAAACCATTTTCCATTAAAAAATTATAGAAAGTGTGTCAGTTAGTAACAAAATTTCTATGAATCTCTTCCATAGTCATCACTTACAATTCATATCAAATCACATATTTTTAAATCAAATATATTTATATATATTACTATTATTGTACCTCAACCTTCATTTGACTATGATTGTTTTTACATCTTTTTATAGGAAATATTCTAAATTTAAAGTAAAATTATATAAGGGCATTCCATTAGACCCTCCTGAAATCATCCAATAACATTACATCTT